ACACCCGTCGGTAAAGACTGCAAACTGCAAAAAATACGTTCCTCGGTGCGTTTTTCGTACTTTCTATAACTTCAGTCCAATTTGTCATTGAATACACAACACAAAAAATGCTATATCTACAAAAAAAATCAGTCTAGTTTTGCGTTCTCAGCGTTTTGTTCGCAATTATTGTTGATTTTGTTTGTTAATATTTTTGTTTAAAATATTTACATGCCATTGAGACATGACTAAACATTTTCAAAATATTAGTTTGTCTGTCCGAGCTAATCTCCGTAATAGCTGATAAAACTTCACAAACAAATAGAGAGTAATACCAGGAGCTATGTAAACTAAATTTTATCTGAAATTAGATTTTATTAAAATAATAATATTGCTAAGATAAAATAAATGGTCTTTAATGATTATTATCTATGTTGTCAATTAGATCCCACCCAGGTAAAGCAAGAGCGGTTCCCTAGTTATTAATGTTATTTTGAAAGGAATTTACCAATTAGCGTTTAAAATTCTTTTGAAATATTTTCCCATTAATAGAAAATTTCCATATAAACGAATAATATAACGATATACCATTATTAGCGGATTTCGGCTATTGGTATAGTGCATGTTGACGGTACGGGCTCGATGAGCCGCCATTTCTAATCCCATTCTTTATCCGTACGCAGTAAGTATTTTTAATTTATTTAGACACGCCACGGATATGGCGGTTATGTTAATGTTTTATGTCTCTGTTTTTTCTGACTCTTTCTAAGATACTATATGATTTAGTAGATCAAATCAAGCCCTCCAGGGTAAATAGATTTGAGATCAAGTTTCATCATTGCGCTCGATCTGCGGTTGTGTTTCTGCCACGCTCGTTAGCAAATCTCTGGCTAACGTAATTGTCGTCCTCGTTTATTCTTTGCCTTTAATTTTGCCAGTGATCATTATTTTTTCTATATTATATACATATAGAGCACCGACGTGAAATAATGTGATAAAATTGTTAAAGCATTTATCGTCGGTAGTCTGAGGATAATCAACGATTATCCAGTTGTGGATAAGTAACCATGCATTATGTTGCATTCAATTGTGGAGCGGAGACAACTGAATGCAACATATGACAGTATGTCGTATTCTTTAATATACACAAAAGTTTTCCAGATTCTTGGCTTTAAGACCCACATTAAGGATTGGTTCCCAGTGATTGAAATAATTGCTGGTAAAATTGTGAGCATGATGATGGAAAAACATGATGATAGTGCCGTCAAAAATGTTCAAAAAAGAAGACGATTTAATTTAAAATAGCAGTTATATGATATTATATTCTTTTTTTTTATAGGATAAGGGTGACAAACGAGCACACAGTCCACCTAATGGTAAGTGGTTGCTGCGGCCCATAGACGTCTACATATATCCTCTGTTACAAATCAAAATGTAGATGCGTTGTCACCCGTGAGGACTAAGATGGAATGCCTCATTTCCAGTAAAAAGGGCCTCCGGCCACCTGCACTCACTAAGCGAAACGCAGAGGTAAACCTCTACTTCACGTTGGTTTTCTGTGAGGTCGTGGTACTATCCTGGTTCGAGCCGGCCCATCCGTGCGACAGCAAAAGCTGCCGCGTGGCTCTACCACTGTTAAAATTCTTGATGTTGACTTGTGATTTAGTAATAATTGTGTTGATTTAGTGATTATTAACGAATATTTAATATTTTGTTACACAGTATGTATTCTTTGGGGGAGGCCTATGTTCAGCAGTGGACTTGTGAAGGGCTGTAATGATGATGATGTAATGATGACATATTACTTAAAATGCGTCCTGTTTTAAAATCACTGATTTGATCGTTAAAATTAGTTACCTAATCCCTAATAGACGAAAGTGTTATTTCATAAGTATGTAAATTTTATTCGACTAGTTTTCTACCTACATAAAGTACCTATATTTTTCGTTTTTGTTTGTGAGAAAAAGATTTTATTTGTTTCGTTGTTTAATAGTAGATACCATAGCTATTATGATTAAGACCTGTTTTTTTTTTTTCAATATTGATTTGTATTTTATGGATATAAAACCAAAACCAGATTTTTTTTAAAATAAGGTATTTCACTGAATCATAAAAACGTTAAATTTTCTTGTATAGTAGAATGCACAAAGAAAGAAATTCTAAAAGACAGGTATTCTTCTTATGTAAATCGGTAATTCTCGGTTTTTATCGAAAAAATACTCGATAAAAATCGGATTATCGATTATCGAAAAGTTTCGATAATTGCATACCCTAGTTGCCAGTGATAACCTATGGTACTGAGACGTGTAACTTCACTGCTGGCAGGATGAGGAAGCTCAAGTTCGCTCAGCGAGCTATGGAGAGGGCTATGCTCGGAGTTTCTCTGCATGATAAACTTAGAAATGAGGATATCCGCAGTAGAACCAGAGTGACCGACATAACCCAACGGATTAGTAAGCTGAAGTGGTAATGGGCCGGCCATATAGCTCGAAGAACCGACAGCCAATGGGGAAAAAAGGTTCTCGAGTGGCGGCCTCGTACCGGCGGACGAAGTGTTGGGCATCCCCCCACTAGATGGAGTGACGACCTGGTAAGATATGCAGGAAGTCGATGGATGCAGGTGGCTCAGGACCGTGCTTTGTGGCATTTCTTGGGGGAGGCCTATGTTCAGCAGTGGACTTGTGAAAGGCTGTAATGATGATGTAATAATTAAGCAAAACAATCACTAATATATCATTATTTTTCTTTAAAAAATTTGTTTAGTGGAAAATTTAGGGATTAGTCTTTTATTAGTGGTTTTAGCAAGTTGAATCTGGTGGAGAACCATGTTTGTTGATGGCAGCACTGTATCTATTAGGTACAGTGCTGCCTTCAACAAAACTGGTTCTACTGGTTCTAACCGGTTAATAATAATTATTAACTCTTCAGTTGTCGTGAAGCGACAATAAAGAACAAAAAGAATCTAACCTAAGAACAACAAAACAACAAAAATACAACAAAAACAAAAAATATATTTAAGATTCAAAGATATTTACAATTTTATACAAAAATGGAGCATGAATATGAGGATGGATGATGCGATTTACAGATTATTTAAAAAGAGTAATAAAAAAAAAAGATTAGTGCCGAAGCTGAGTCTGAAGATCCAAGGTGTGCTCTCAGCGCCTGGAACGAGCACGCACGGCGTAGGTCAGAAGGCGTGGGCGTCTCTAGGCGACGACCTCCGGTGAATGTGGTAATTGCAGGATCCGGCGATTTCAGGCCAGACAGGGGCTTGCAGGATCCCCAGCGCCTTCAGACAACACAGAAGCCTGCAGGATTCGGTGACTGCAGGCGGGACAGAGGTTTGCAGGTTCCGGTGACTTCAGGCGGAACTGAGATTTGTAGGTTCCGGCGACTCCAGATAGAGCAGAGACTTGTAGGATCCCGGCGACTTCAGGCAGAGAAACGGTTTGTAGAGTCCAGCGACTTCAGGTAGAGCAGAGGTTCGTAGAGTCCAGTGGCTTCCGGCAGGACAGAGGCTTGCAGGATCCCGGGGCAGTGCGGCCCCGGGATAAGGCCTTTAGGAGATGCTTCCAATTCGAGAACTGAAGCGAGACTGCCTTTCTTCACCGATTGTTCGGCTTTTATACCTTTCTAGAGAGAACGGAAAAATTATTTAAATTAAACGCAAATTTTTTGTAAATGGTCAAGAGAAAAGAGTATTTATGTGGAATTATCGAAATAGAAACAACAGACCGGTAGTAAATTTGAATATAATTGCTATGGAGACCGAATAAACAACAATGTCAAAACATGTCAAATTTTGGTTTTAGGCTTGTAATAAGAAAACGGCAAGATTTAAGTGGAAAATGAGATATTATTGATATAGGAAAAAAGGTAGCGCAACTGCCCACACAAAGCCCGAGATTGTAGAGTTACGGAAAACTAACTAAAAGATCGAAAAAAGGTAGACTCCATTGACACCAATTTAAAAGTGCTGATAATGTGAAAATACGAAGTAGAAATGATTTGTTATTGTGTTCTTATGGTTTAAAATCGTTACAGGATCCTATGGAAATAAAGGTGATGTAAAATATCCAGTTTTGAGGTGAATGCAGAAAATCGAAACAGAATGGAAAAAATGAATTTAAAATAATGTTAAATGATAAGTAAGTAGCATAACACTACATTTTCCCCCCGACCCTGGAAAATTTTTGACTCAGCAAAAATTTTGATATATACATTCTAAAATAAACCTTAAAAACACAGATTTGCAGAAACAGACATCACCAGCCAAAATCAGATATACTATCTCTTACATTCATCATCTGCCATTCAGGTAAGGGTGGAGTTCACATTCAATGACTACCACTCTAAAAGTGTGTTTTCGAAAGGACATTCAGGCTTATTTAAGGAGTTGTCATCCGCTCCTGCGTGGAAAAAAAAATATTAAGGGAGTAGTCAGCCGCTCCCAAGTGAAGATAAAGATAAAGAAATACATCAAGTAAGCTTTAGTCGCTATGACTTAAGTAAAGATTAAGAACGGCCAGAGCGGTAGGGCTCAAAGCCAGAGATCAGCAACATCACCAACGAGATGTGTCTGAAATAAAAATAAAAAGTGACGATTAACCAACGAAAGTTCGAGGTCCTAAAGCAAGATGTGTTGAAGAACACTGGATCATCAAACAAACAAACAAATTAAAAGAAATAAAAATAATAAGGTGAGAATGATGGTGATATTTATACATATATACAAATTAACAGTTAATAAAAGTTAAGAAAATTTATGATTTTACATCTTTGATGTGCCACTTGCCTCTAACTCCATTAGGGTCTTCAAGCACATAGACTAGTGGTGACAGTTTAGCTATCACTTTGCACTTGATGAACTTAGGGGCAAGTTTAGCATTAAAGTATGCGCCGGCATTGCTTAAAACATGGTTTTTACGCCAAACAGTATCTCCCACATTAAATTCTTTAAAAGCCCGGCGAAGATCATAGCGAGCGCTATTTTAAGGGTGCGCTATGTGAAGTTTAGTTTAAACTTTGTGAAAGATAGATGAGAGGAGACCAGCATTAGACGCGTAAATATCACGAGGCATAAATATTAATTCCTCGAGGTTCTGAGTTGGAGTATAGAAGGAACCACAAGGTATTGTTTCCCTACCAAAGACTAAAAAGTTTGGAGTAAAGCCAGTAGCTACATTTGTAGCGCTGTTCATTGCGTACTGAATTTTAGTAAGATGGTTGTCCCATGATCTATGATCGTCTCCTACTAGAGATGCTAGAGCTGTAATAATTGTACTATTAAACTTCTCCGTAGGATTAACCTGAGGACAATATAAAGCTGTGTGAAAAATAAAAGGAACGTTATAAGAATTTAAGAATGAGTGGAATTCTCGCGACTGAAATTGAACAGCATTGTCCATTATAATAGTTTGGGGAATGCCATGAACTAGAAAAACTGAATTTTCCAAAACATTAATAATATTAGCTGAAGTAGCACGTTTAAGGGGAAAAATCATAGTATATTTAGTAAAATTGCAGTTAATTACTAGAATATACTGATTTCGTCTTCGAGACATAGGCAATGGACCCATAAGATCTAAGGATATAGTTTGAAAAGGTCTGGAGCAAAGTTTAGGTTTACCCATAAGACCATAGGGAGAATGATTAGGGTGTTTGTAGGTTAAGCAGGTTTCACAAGTTGAGATTAAATTGGCAATATCCTTAAACATACCAGGCCAATAGTATTTTAAAGATATTTTCTTCAATGTCTTGAAGATACCAAGATGGAGTTCTGAAGGGGAACCATGGTTAACTTCAATAATTGCATGTCTATCTTGAGGTAGTGGAACTTCTTTCCAAACAAAGTCATCGTTTAGACGATCGGGAGAATGGATGCAGCGGTAAAGTTTGTTATCCCTGATAGTGTAGTTGGGATATGAGTCTGGGTTGTTGGAGCATCCAAGAAAAATCTTGTTGTAGTGCTCAAGTTTACGATCAGGTGGTTCTTCAATCGTAATAGGATGTACGCCTTGAGGTGAAATTTTTCGTGTATCAGGACGTTCTTGATTCATATGTCTTGATAATAAATCTGGAACAACGTTATCCTTTCCTTTTTTATGTTTCAGGACAAAGTTAAAGCAAGATAAGCGTCCGTCCGTCCCAGCGAGCAAGTCTTCCTGATGGATTCGATAAGTTCTGAAACCATTTAAGTGCAGCATGGTCAGTATATATTGTAAATTCTTTACCATTGTCTAGGTAACATCGCCAATGTTCTAACGCAGTTATTACAGCCAATGTTTCTCTTTCAGTAGTTGAGTAGTTCTGTTGATTTTTGTTTAGTGCTTTACTCATGTAAGCAATCACGACTTCTTTGTCATCTTGATGTTGAGTAAGCATTGCTCCTATGCCATAGTTTGATGCATCACAATGTACAGAGAAGGGTAGTTCGAAGTTAGGACAAGCAAGGACAGGAGCAGTTACCAAAGCTTCTTTAAGTTTCTGGAAAGCAGCTGCAGCTTGTGAATTCCAAAGAAATTTAGGAGCGTTCTTCCCGGAACAGGTTAGTTGATTGAGTGGAGAGGCAATAGTGCTAAAGTTTGGAATGAATCTTCTGAACCAGCTGCAGGTGCCTATGAATCTTCGCACTTCTTTTCTACAAGTAGGTACAGGATATTCTAATATAGCTTTTATTTTATCTGGATCAGCACGTAGACCGTACTCGTCCACTAGAAAACCAAGGTATTTCAGTTCTTTCCTGAAGAATTGACTCTTCTCAAAGTTAATAGTCAGATTAGCATATGAAAGTTTTTCATGAACTTTCATAAGGAGTGATATGTGTTCATCAAAAGTCTCGCTAATGATAACGATGTCGTCTAGATAGCAAAATACCTTGTTCTCAAATTCAGGAGTAAAAAGCATATCCATTAATCTTTGTAGAGTTGCAGGTGAGTTAGAAAGACCAAAAGGCATTACCTTGAATCTAAACATACCTCTTCCAGGTACATAAAATGCAGTTTTATCCTTATCAGCAGGATTCAAGGGAATCTCCCAAAATGCTTTCGCAATGTCGATGCTTGATAAGTATTTGGCATTCCTCAAGTTGTCCAAAATTTCGCTTATTAGTGGCAGACTATAAGCATCACGACGTGTAACTGAGTTAAGCTTCCTGCTGTCTACGCAGAAACGCCATTCACCATTCTTCTTCGGAGTGATGAGAACTGGAGATAACCAAGGACTTTCGCATTGTTCAATGACGTTCCATCGCAGCATCTTGTCAACTTCATTAATTAACGCCTTTTGTTTTTCAGGAGACAGTCTGTAACATCTTTGTTTGATTGGAAGAGAATCACCAGTGTCAATCTTGTGGGTGATTAAGTGTGTGCATCCCAGGATACCTTTTTCTTCAAAAGAAATTGTCTTGAAGCGTTGGATGATGTCATTAGCGATGTTCTTTTGATTAGGAGTTAAATGCTCATAAGGTAAAACTTTAGTATCTTTAGTTTCGATAGCAGAGCATTTAGATTCTGTAAAGTTAAGAGAAGATAAAACACTAGGTAAAAGATTAAATTTTTTCCAAAAGTCAATACCTAGTATTAGCGAAGGAAATATTTTAGGGAAAACGTAAGCTTTAATTAAATGAGTTTGATTATTGAAATGAACAGGTAAGTCAAAATAGCCCAAGGAATTAACTTTTTGATTATTAGCAGTAGAGACAGTAATAAGATCTGACTTAAAAAGTTTGCAGCCCAGTTTAAGAATTTCCAAATGAGAATTATTACCCAGAATAGTTACTGAACTGCCAGAATCTAGTAAACCAGATAAAGTTAAGTTATAAATTTTGACATTAACGAATGGACGATTAAGATCTTGTTCTTTGGAGTAGAGTGTAGAAGAGATTTTGTAACAAGAAAAGAAGTTTTGAATTGTTTTAATCCAATTAGTCCAATCGTCATTATCAAAGTTTAAGTTACTTTTCAAGTCAGCAGTTAGTTTATTTGAACTAGTATTAGGTTTGGGAGAACAAGTAGGGCAATCTGCAGTTTTAAAACCCTTAAGACCACATTTGAAACAAATCACGAATCGTGGTTGATTACAGGTGTTCAAAGAATGACCTTGTTTACGACAGCGAACACAAAAGGAGCTTTCTTGAGGAGCTTTAGTTTGAGAGAGACTATTAACTTGTCTAGAAGGGTATTTGTAGGATGAAGTGAATTTATTCAAGAGAGGAGGAGAAGGTCGTGAGTTATTAGAAGAATTTGGAGAGTCAACTGAACTTGAAGTGGAATGCTTGTAGTTGAATTCAGAAATAAGAGGACTTTGTTGTACATTTGGTTCTTTAAATTGTTTGTCTCTGTCTAGGAATTTTTCATAGTTTTGGCAAGTAGCCAGAAGAGAGTCGATAGAGTCAATGTCTTTTAGAGCTACGAAGACTGAATAACATGGGCGAATATTCCTTAAAATAATCTCCAATTGTTCTGTTTCAGAAAGTTTCTTCGAAAGACGAGAAAACATTCCAGACATGATGGAAATATAGATGACAATAGGTTCATCTCGACCTTGAGTTCGATTCCTAATCGCTTCTAAAAGTTTGTGATCATAATCAAAACCACCAAAGTCTTTGATTAATAACGAAGAAAGTTCGTTCCACGTTAAGTTTGGATTCTGATTATATTTAAATCTGAACCAATGAAGAGCATTGTCAGTGAAAATTTCAAACGCTTGTAAAATCAACAAGTCTTTGGACAAGCCACGAGCTATACAGTATTCTTCCAGTTTTTGAAGAAAGGATCTTGGACAGCTTTTACCATTGAAGGTGTGTCTTTTCTGATCTTTGAAGACGTTGGTTGGAGAAAAAGATTGAGGTGGTGGTGGAGGATACGGGGTATGGACCTGAATAGAATTTTGAGAAACAAGAGGGAGTTCCGTGACAGTCGGGTCAACCGTGACAGTCGGGTCAACCGTGACAGTCGGGTCAACAGGAGGGTCAAGTGATGGAGGGTCATTTTCAGTTGGAGCTGGAGTCAAGGATTCAAATTGTTTAGTAATATCGTCATATTTCATCTTCAAAGTATCGAAAATAGCTTTAAAGTCTGGATATAAGTCAGTATCTATTCGTTCCAATCTGTAAAAGACATGATTAATAAAAGTTTCTATTAGTCGCAACTGTTTGGTTTCACCTTGTAAAAATTTTTTAATTTTAGAGTCCAAGTAGGTCAAAGTAGAATCAATTTGAGACAAGTCATCCTCAATCGGAATTGGAGAAGTCAGAATATCTTCAGGGTGAGAATTCGCAACTAAACGCAAAACCTGTTTTTTTAGAAGTAAAACAGTATTAGCTGGTTCTCCTATCTAATCTTCACTTCGTATTCGAGTTCGGCCTTGTTAAGGAATTCGTACTTAATAACCCTTTTCATTGTTATAATTATGTGTAAAGTTAAGTTTAAGAAATAAAAATTTAATTAAAAATTATACCTCGTTAAGTTATCTAGAATAAAAATATTAAAGTGATGAATGTAAGTGAAGTGTTGAATGTAGGTCTAAATATAATCTAGATAAGTTGAAAAACTATATGAAGTTTTGTTTTAGAATTTGAAAGATTATCTACAATAAAAATATTAAAGTGATGAATGTAAGTGTTAAATGTAGGTCTAAATATAATCCAGATAAGTTGAAACACTAGATGAAGTGTTGTTTTAGAATTTGGAAGGTATGAAAAGGATGAATAAATAAAGAGTTAAGAACGAAAGAGGAAGCAATTAAATCAAAAGGAATGGACAAGGCGCAGTAAAGGTGAAGAGAAGAGAAAGAGAACTTTTACGTTGGGCGCCAAATTTCGTGAAGCGACAATAAAGAACAAAAAGAATCTAACCTAAGAACAACAAAACAACAAAAATACAACAAAAACAAAAAATATATTTAAGATTCAAAGATATTTACAATTTTATACAAAAATGGAGCATGAATATGAGGATGGATGATGCGATTTACAGATTATTTAAAAAAAGTAATAAAAAAAAAAAGATTAGTGCCGAAGCTGAGTCTGAAGATCCAAGGTGTGCTCTCAGCGCCTGGAACGAGCACGCACGGCGTAGGTCAGAAGGCGTCTCTAGGCGACGACCTCCGGTGAATGTGGTAATTGCAGGATCCGGCGATTTCAGGCCAGACAGGGGCTTGCAGGATCCCCAGCGGCTTCAGACAACACAGAAGCCTGCAGGATCCGGTGACTGCAGGCGGGACAGAGGTTTGCAGGTTCCGGTGACTTCAGGCGGAACTGAGATTTGTAGGTTCCGGCGACTCCAGGTAGAGCAGAGACTTGTAGGATCCCGGCGACTTCAGGCAGAGAAACGGTTTGTAGAGTCCAGCGACTTCAGGTAGAGCAGAGGTTCGTAGAGTCCAGTGGCTTCCGGCAGGACAGAGGCTTGCAGGATCCCGGGGCAGCGCGGCCCCGGGATAAGGCCTTTAGGAGATGCTTCCAATTCGAGAACTGAAGCGAGACTGCCTTTCTTCACCGATTGTTCGGCTTTTATACCTTTCTAGAGAGAACGGAAAAATTATTTAAATTAAACGCAAATTTTTTGTAAATGGTCAAGAGAAAAGAGTATTTATGTGGAATTATCGAAATAGAAACAACAGACCGGTAGTAAATTTGAATATAATTGCTATGGAGACCGAATAAACAACAATGTCAAAACATGTCAAATTTTGGTTTTAGGCTTGTAATAAGAAAACGGCAAGATTTAAGTGGAAAATGAGATATTATTGATGTAGGAAAAAAGGTAGCGCAACTGCCCACACAAAGCCCGAGATTGTAGACTTACGGAAAACTAACTAAAAGATCGAAAAAAGGTAGACTCCATTGACACCAATTTAAAAGTGCTGATAATGTGAAAATACGAAGTAGAAATGATTTGTTATTGTGTTCTTATGGTTTAAAATCGTTACAGGATCCTATGGAAATAAAGGTGATGTAAAATATCCAGTTTTGAGGTGAATGCAGAAAATCGAAACAGAATGGAAAAAATGAATTTAAAATAATGTAAAATGATAAGTAAGTAGCATAACACCACACAGT